TTAAACTATCTCAAAGCCCTTTCTTTGCTCTGCAGGTATTACTGTTTTTTCTTCATAACTTCTAATTCAGCTACATTTCCGCAGTTAAATTGGGAAGTGCCGAGCTGAGAGGAGCAGATTCTGGCTACTTGTTTTTTTGGTGTGTGCTTCTGATAATTGAATTTTGAACTGAAATTTCTGTACTTCTGCAGATATTTCCCCAGCGATTCTAATAAAACTTTCTTAAAATATCTCAGTTCGTTTTTCAAAACTTTTTAAAAATTCTTTCACGATTATTCCCAAAATAAAAATTTTCATAATTTTTAGACGTTTTTCTTGACAATTCCTCTGGAACTCAATAAACTGAAGCAGAGGAGACAACAGCAAGTAAAAAAAAAGTACCTCTGACGCGGGAAATGTCTTGTGGAGCGGACCGCCACAGCAAAGGAACACCGGAACATAGCACCCGGGGCACAGTGAGATGAAAGACAACGGACCTGGCACAGCAAGGGATTTCCTGCAACAGCGACACAGATTGTACTGACCAAGAAAGTCACCTGCATGTTCGGAATGCAAAAATACTCTTTTTTTCGTGCAGTTAGAGAGATGAACCAGTGCGTAACCGGCGATATTTTTCCACTTTCGAGTCGTAATTTTCCCGACTTCGGAGCAGAGCTCAGAGATTTGCACACAGAAAGGCAGACAGAGAAAGTAGGATATAAGAAGGTTTTATAGGCTCCGCTGTGCACTGTGATTTCTAAATTATCAATTCTTCAACCTCAGCGAAGTGAATTTTTTGGCAAGCCGATTTTGACTGTATTAACACAGTGTTAGAAGAACACTAAACCCAGGCTGGAATGTACCGGGCGGGCAAGTGCCATCATGCGTTTTTGCACCGAACTTGAAGTACTCAGGTCATTAACTGCATGAATGGTTGATGGCTTACACCTAACTTTTGCGGTCACTAGCATAAATCACCATAAATTTTGCAACAAGCAAATGTACAATTTCCATTTAACGATCATTCTTTAAAAGTAACCTAGCTGTTCAGTGAGAAATTTTTCCGCCAAAAATTTTAAGTGCCCGTACGTAAGAACCACGCATACCTGAGAGCTGGATCTGAAATATTTAAGTTACACTTGGACAAGGAACATTCCCTCAGAATTTCAGCCTTCTAGCTTTCCTGGTTCCCGAGTTAGCACTTTCCCCGCTAAACTTTTATACGCCCTTACGTAAGAACCACGCATGCCCAGGGGCTGAATTTGAAACCTTTAGCTAACACATGCACGAGGAATATCCCCACAAAGTTCCAGCCCCCAGCCCCTAAGCTTGTCAGGTTCCCGAGATCGCTTTTCCGCCAAAAAATTTACATAGTTTTTTAAAGCGTCCGTACGCGACACCCAGGCGTCCCCGGGGGATGATGTTAAAACGGGAGAGTCGCGCATGGTATGGGCACATACTCCCAAAGTTTCAGCTCTCTAGCTTTTCTGGTTCTCGAGTTGAAAGTGGGTGACAAAAAGTGCGAACACACAGACAC